AGGGAGGCTCCAACTATACATAGGGTGAGCAGATGTCCCAATTTGTTGTTATTAAACTGTCACAAGTACAGAGCAACGAAATTCACTCTCTGCATTTCAGCCATCCCCTTGTGGAGCAGTGGGCTGTCGTTGTGCGGCACCCGTGGAGCAGTGTGGGGTTAAGGGTCTGGGACCCAGTTGCTCTGAGACCCAGAGTGGCACTCTGTCGGAGTGGGGCTCAAACTCAACCTCAGGATACCAAGCTTTATGCCCTAACCACTAGACAGCCACTCCCCTACCTACAAGTTGAAATATTTCACTGGGTCTAAGAAAAAAAAAAAGGACATAATTTGACAGCCACCTTACTCAAATATAAAGAAAACAGAGCTGCAGTTATCCTTGCAGAGCCGTGCGGCTGTCATTCAAAGTAGAAACAGTACCCCACGTCACAACCAACCTACATATAATGTTTTTAAAATAAAACGAAACAGATACAGGATTTTATAACACAAAATTTAATGGAAACTACATTTAAAGAAGAGAAACTGCAGTCCTACTGGATGAGGCAAGTAAAAAAGTGTTTTTCAAAGGGCTTTCTATGGAGTTTGCTGGAGCTATTCTTCTGTTTCAATCAGAGTGGAGTGTGTAACCCACGTTGTTCCCCATAGGCATCCTACGTTTACTTTTCTTGAAGCTTAAGAAGAGTCTCTTCACTTTCTATTTTTTCTGTGCTGAGCTCCAACCATGTTTATTTAAATGCTTTATTATAGATGTTTGTCCAAGTCCGTCCTGCTTGCTTTAAAAACACAGTGTGTGTTTACAAATGTCAGCAATTTAAATGTTTTACCTTGTGATTCACATATTTTATTTTGTATTTTCCTCAAAGCAGATGTGATTTACTTACTGAAAGTGCCTCTTACACGGTCTTCCAATCTGACTCATGACATTGCTGCCAAATGGCTATTTCAGCGTTCTAAAGACTATGCAGCAGTGATGCGGCCAGAAAATACTCCTAATCGATATTAAAGGCACACTATGCAACATTTTTCAGTTAATTAATGTGTTCCATAATGTTATGGATGATTAAATGAGTCATTTCAGGTTGAACAAAGGTATTCTCGGCCGCCCTGGTGGTCTGTGGGGGAAATACTGCACTTGCAATTGCAGGAGCACCGACCCGCACCCACAGGCTCAGAAGTCTCGTGAGAGTCAGTCTTGCTTTACGGCGAGAACTGCTAGATGCCCCCAGTTAAAAGCATTCTCGTTGCTAGCACAGTGGCAATCTTTGTGCAGTTATGCTACGTTCACGCAGCAAAAGCAGCAAAATCGCGTCTGCTGCTTCCTTTTTGCTGCTTGTACCAGTTAGTTCTGACGCGTGGCTGAAGCAGCTTTGCTGCGCGGTGCAAAAGTGTGTCTGACGCGCGTTGGACAGAGCTTCACTATCCTTTCTCTGCCTTGCAGCTATATTTGCTGTGATCAGTGGAAATAAAGTAGTTTTAATATGTTTTTAAGTGAGAAAATACACCTGAAAACGTAATCAGTGCAGTCAGTTCATTCAGATTATTATCCTGCCTTCCATATTTTTTCTGTCGGAGCCGCTCAGACCCCCACATACCAGGTATGCGCCGACAGCAGGGATCCCGTCATCAGCAGCCTCTGGCCGGGTTGCCTCCTCGCAGTTAACCGCGACAGCTGGTAGGTGTTCTTCATCTAAATAATCCAAACTGCATATTCTGCCGGCAGATTTCTGCATTTTCAGTTAATTTAGGCGTCAATAAACTGTTTAAGAGGAGTGATCATCAGCGCTGTGTCTCTCTCCCTGCGTCAGATGCTTAAACGCGCTGCGTCAGCTGCTCAGACGTGCTGCGCCTGCAGCTCAAAACGAGCCGCGGGACCTTTTGCTGCGCCTTGACGCGCGTCAACCATTGACTTTGCATGTAAACTCGCTGCTTCTGTTGCGCCAGCTATGTCCAGTGTGAACGCAGCATTAGTCATTCGCTGCTAAGCTCAAAACAACCGCGCCTGGCTTGACGGAGAAACCAGGAGAACAGCTGTGCATATTTACGACATTGCAATTTTACTTTTGCCCTCTGGGGGGAGCCTCCCTGGAAAATCAACACCGGTTGCATAGTGTACCTTTAAGGTCTGACATAGCTCTGGCATGTTTTAAAATTGTTGAAATAGTCTAATTAAAAGCATGCATTTTTTTCTAGTTAGTTAGCAGGACGCTTGGTGCCGATAAGGACATGGTTACATTCCAGCTACTGACGGTGAATGTTTCACACTGGTGTTTCATGTCCAAAAACATGAAATGTCTCTTGCTTGGTGAGCTAAAAAATGTTTTCTTAAGCAATAGCTCCTTGAATAGCTTCTTAAACTTATCAGTGCGTAGAAACATCAAGTAAACATGTTCTTCAGCTTTACTGTTTGCATTTAAGGGTGAAGTTTCTGCAGAATAGTGTTGAGGTGTTTGCTGTTGTTGCACTAAAGTATTCACCATGGCAACAAAAAGATCATGTTACCTGAGAGTTGATTCTTCACATATATGTTGCTGTTAGTGCAATGGGAGAGGATTTAAAGATATTTTCTTCCCATTAGTTTGGGATTGTAGTATTAAAGCAGTTACTCTTACAAAAGTATACCAATATTTTAATGGTTCTGTTGTGCAGCATCTTTGGTTTGACATTCTTTACCAGACACCAGAAAAGAAAAAGCCTGGTGTTTCTTCTGGCTGCTTAAAGCAAAGATTAATGCAATCCTGACCCACATGTTGTTGTTTACTACAGCTCAGCTGGCTGAAAGAAGGCTCCTGTTCTAATGAAAATATATTTAAAAATATCAGAGTAAATATATATTTTTTTTCTTTTCATTGCTCATATTTGTCAATAATTATTTTGGTGTAGAGAGTATTCGGTAGGGCAAGGCTTCAAGAAAGGCGCCTTTGGAGAGAGATTCTGCAGATAAAGCTATCTGGCTGTTGTTGATATGCATAACAGAATTAAAGTAGCAGTTTTAAAACCTTTTTTTCTGAAATAATAAATTGGTTCAGTTGAGCTTTTGTCTTTAAGGCAAAAGAGAACAACTTAATGTTGGTAAGTCCATGTTTTGGAGTTAGTTGAGTTAAAACTGTTACCTGTAAGTCACAGGGCTTTAAGGGCCATAGTGCATGCTCTCAATGGTTCTCACTCTACCACAGCCTGTAAGCTGCTTACTACATCAGCGAGCCTCTTTTTATCCTTTAACAACAACCAGCTGACACAATAGCGAAAAAAGTTACTCTAAAATGCTTAGCTGTAAATAATGACTATGAGTTTGAAGTTAATTTCTGAGTTGAATAATTATTATAGGGTTATTGTTGAATCAGAAAGAGAAACTGCAAGAAATCTGTTTCAGCTTAGTTTGTTTTTCATGTTCCTTGATCAGTAAAGATTGATTCGATCAATGTTGTCATGCGCATTGTGTTTTTTAATTTCCTGTGAAGGGAAATGTAAGGCAAGATAGCGCTGTGGTGTTGTTGAATGAAAAGCTGTATTTGTGTTTGAACACAAAAAGGGAACCTTCAGACAATCTAATCTCTTTCTTTGGTTTAAAGGTTGGTAAAATGGTGACAAATCACTGGGTTAGTCTGGGGATTTTTTTGGGTTGGGAATTGGGGATGTATGCAAAGGATAGGATTTAGCCGCTTAACTACTCCCTGCTAGGCAAAGCAAAGTTGGTGGTAAATCTGACCTCTTTATAAAGGTTATGTTTTATATAGAGTTAGAGTTAAAATTGCAAGTCTGCCTTCTATCCACCAGCTCTTGTTTCAAATGATAAAAAAAGACTCTAGCCTGACAAAGTGACCCACATAGAGCAGTATTTAGATCAAAAATTTTAAAAATATATAAAAAAAATTTTGCATTTAAAAAAAAAAAAAAATGCATCTATCTGTATGCTCTATCCAGAACTCTTCTGTTGGAAAAGTTTTAGTTTCACCTGGTTTAATTTTGTAAAAAGAACTTCTTTAAGGAACCTTTGGCTAACCGATTATTAATCGATTAATTGAAAGATCAGCAAATTAATTTATTTGCAAAATTATAATTAGTTGCAGCCCAAATATATATAAGGGCTAAACGATTTTGCTAAATTTCAAAATTACGATTATTTTCACCCCATATTGCGATTTTTTTTGCACTGAGTACAACCATGTCGAACTTTATTCCAGGGTTTCAGTTGTTCCTTGAGGGCCTGCTTGTCCAAAATCCAGTGTTGCAGGGCTTTAAATTCTTACTTCTGCTGTAATGCATAGATCTATGTGGTAGCTGCAACTCACTGTTCCCTTCGGTGCGACAGCATGCCCACTTTAATGTATTACCGCCATCTACAGAGCTGGAGAGAGTAGTTTAGTGTCTTACACTTGTTAAATGTCTTCTGACTAAAAATCGTGCACTTGTGCAATTTGAAAGTTGGATTTATTTGAATTTTGATTATATTGCAAATACAATTTAGATCAGGGGTGCCCAAGTCCAGTCCTCAAGAGCTACCATCCTGTAACTTTTAGATGCATCTCTTCTCTTGCACACCTGAATCTAACCTCATTTAGCCCAACAGAGGCATGGTAACGAGCCACTCATTTGATTCAGGTGTGTTAAAAATGGTTGCATCAAAAAGTTGCAGGATAGTAGCTCTTGAGGAATGGACTTGAGCATCCCTAATTTAGATGCTTCCATTTCAGGTTTTTTTTCAACTGTTAGATGAAAAATGAATTCTAGGTTATTTGAGAGTTTTGGTTCACTGATCATAGATTTTTGGCTATAAATTCCAAATAGGATCACTGCTTAAGTGCTTCTAGCATCTCTAAGGACATTTTTTACATCTGGATCCAATATAGGACTCTGATCAGTCACCAGTAAGGGCTTTTTAAGCTGAAACTTGGCCAATTAGAATAACCTGTGGATTTTTTTTTTATGTCCTTCTCTTTTAAAAAAAATTCTCCTTTCACTTTTAAATGCATAAATTGCATATTTTCCTGTGTTTTACAGATTTGTCTCAAGCGAATGGCCATGATGATTATAGAGGACCTGAAATTGATCTGCAAAAATGCTCTGATCAAAATACACTACTGACCCAGAAGGAAACGCATATCCTGGATGTCTTGACATTCCAAAATGGAGAAAAAGAAATCGTGCCCACGTCTTCTTGACTACTTGGTGGTTGTTGGAGCAAGGTAAGTGCAGATGCTGAATGGAATCAATGATTTTCTTAAGTGTATCCTTAAATGAATCATAGGAGAAGGTGCTGCAAAATGCAAGTCCCACACAAACACAGCTCTGCAAAGTTAACTTCAGTTATAATATAGAGCGCACTTAGAGCTTGTTTTATGTGTGAATATAAATAAAGGAAGAAGAAAAAAAAACATTTTGCAGTTAAATTAAAATTAGGTACTGGTGGGGTATTGCCTTGTATTTATTTATTTCTTTTGGCTTTTGTTTGAAAATAATAAGGTTTTTGTTTTTCCACATTGCAGCTCAAGATTTTACCCACTGCTCTTTTGTTTTTAACCTGTCATAGCTGTTCAAAAACTATGTAAGACAGTAACCTTATCTTTTTTGACCTAAGGATTATTTTACTTCTGTTTTAAGATGATGTCTGTTTCTTTAATAGCAATAAGTTTCAAAACATTGAAATTCAAATTGATTTAATACTTGTACAATAGCCCTACCATTTGTCCATCTCCGAATTTGTATTCAAACCTGTGCTGCAGGTAAATATTTGAAATGTTATATTTTGTGGTTTTTATATATATATATATATATATATTAGGGATGGGACGATTTATGAAAACCGTCCGAACCGTTCGGTTCGACTGTCTCGGTTCGATTCGCGTGTGTTTCGTTCGGTTCATGCGCTGCTCCTTTTTCTCATAGAGGAAGCGTTTACCCTCCAGAGCAGAAGTTGGCGGTACTGCGACCAAAGCCAACCACCAGTAGTAAACAAGAAGAAGAAGAAGCGAAGCAGCTTACCTGGGTGTAGCAGGGAAAAAAATAAGTTGTTGTGGAGAATTGTGTCGGAATGGCGAGTGGGAAAGAACGGCAGTTGGAAGACGCGCCAGCAGCACTTTATAGGTCTGCTGTATGGGAGCGCTTTGCATTTAGAGTGACATACGATGACGGAGGAAAGAAAGTTGTGGATAAAAGTGCAACAGTGTGCAAGCATTGTGCAACACGTTTTGTTTATGCTAACAGCAACATGACCAACATGTCATGCTAACCCCGAAATCCCTCATACTCCGTCAGCAACCCCCGCTGCTCAAAGCAAAGCCTACAGTCTCATTAATTCATTCATTTTTTTTAGGATTTTTTCATTAATTTC